AAAAAAAAAAAAAAGAACGGGCAAAGATAAACCGAAGTCTAGGATAAGGCAAAATGAGAACTAATACTGGATGCAAGGAGTGGACTTTCTAAGGATTTATTGAGGAAACCAATTCATAAAAGTTACTTTCACGACGACAATGAAAATACATCATGAAAGGGGTAACTAAACGACTAAATCTTAAGACAATAAAACGCAATGACAAGAAGAACTACGTGAAACAAAGCTAATAAATTGTCACCGGAGTAGATTTACTCGCTTAAAACACAACATGTTTCCGAGTCACGAAAACTAAACTTGAGTGCAAAGCCTTATTATCGAAATCTATGGCAACGATATACTTATAAACAGGTTAAAACGGAACGACGCGTCATGACTGACATGGCAAGGCTAACTCCTAGCTCTTGGGGCGAACCCCAGCTCTACTAAGTTGCTCGACCAGCTTGCTTTGGTCCAAGCTCTCGCTAGAACTTCTGCTCTCTCTCCTCGTTACTGTCGTATCATATATGGGCTATATCTACGAGTACGTGAATAGGAGCTAATTGAATCACAGGCAGCCCAAACAAGGTCCCTGTGTATGGTTTATCACGGGAATGTACGGGAGTTATGATAAAGGTACGAAAACAAAATAGGATAGATGGGTGGAAATATAATGGGAAGGCTGGACACAGGGAGCCCGCTTTAGAATGCAGTATGTTACGTGACCCGCTCACGCTTTACGGCTGTTTGAACACCATCGAACACACGCTGTAGAAGAAATCGAATATTCGACTTCAAGCCAGGATTTTTCTGGAAATATTTGGCGTGGTGGCATTCAGAATACAAGTTATAATAGAGAAATTATCGTTCCTTTGACATGTTGCATTTTTATTGCGTGTTATCGCGTATTTTCAAGGTGAGAGAGAGAGATTGTTTTTTGGATTTTCTAGCGTGATGTAGTCGATATCGGGTGCTAAGTCTCCAGCCTTCCCATTATTACTCGGGCTTTTGAAGAAATGCCCGAGGTATAAATTGGGCTTCGTTATTTTTTTCTTCACTCACAAATCGCTCTCGAAGCCATAAGGTGCATGCGTCAAAACAAAGTCTATGCGCATGCGTAGAATCAGCCATGAGCACATGCTTGAGTAATGGCGGATATGGGGAAGGACTCGTCGCTGTTTCAAGTAATGAATAATATGGAGTCTAACACCCTCAACATTTTTAGCACGCGTGATTTTGCACAGACTTTGCACTATCTAAAAGGGTGACAATGTTCACGAAGAATTATTTCGATTTTCTGGTATGAAGCCCGAGTTCACGCAGATATGCGTCTAGTTTAGGTAGAGAAGAGCGGATTTTGAAAAAAACTCACTAAACGGCCTCAAATCGCGCTGAAACTTCGCCAGAAGACTGAACAAAGTAAAAGCAACAACTGCAGCAAGTTGTGAGGCAAATTGTTGAGTAAGACATATATACTATTATAAACTATACACAGGAACCTTGTTTGGGCTGTCTGTGATTCAATTAGGATATGACCTCATGTCACTCCTATTACCTTATCAGATTAAACTATTAGGAGAATCGTAAAACAAGCTAAACATCCAACAGTTAAAAGTAATCTAAATTGGCACTAGCAGAACTGTTTACGAGGTAGTTCCACAAAGAAAATGACCTAAATGCGAGATAAATATTGGTTTAAACGAACGATTAGCTCAGGAATAGATCACATAGCATTGCTCGTCCGAAATACTAAACTGTGAGTGTGTCTTTCCAGTAGAACGATTACACTCACGTTCGTATGTGTTCCCTAACAAAAATATATTGGAAAGTCCTATATAGTAAATACTTAGAATCGCAAAGAACAGGCAGCTCTTATAGAAACTGCTTAAAACGATATTCCAAAATGACTAAAGATTAGTGCAAAGTGACCATGTCACATCAAAACCCCATAATTCTTCATGGAAGGTGTTAACTACAGTTCGACGAAAAAAGATGGATACTTGAATTCAGTGACATGCGGCATGGACAAATAGCATGTTATAAACATTGGGCAGCTAAACCGAACCCCTTTTAAATTTTATTTTCGCCAATTTTACTTTCGCACATATCCGCTTTTTGGGACCTTATTTTAAGTCCTTACCTGTGCACTAACGCTTCCTGATGCATCAAGATCGAAAAAGATTCCACATGGAATACAAAGAAAATAAATGCAAATAGAGAATCTCTTAAGGGCTAAGCCACGTACTAGACTTCTGCTTGATGATGCTGAGCCACTGTTAGGAAACAAGATACAAACCATAATGATCGCTTTGAACAGATCAAACATCGGCTTTTCTTTCTTCTAGTACTTTCTAAATTAAGGTGCTTGTTATAAAACAGTTCATATTGAAATCATTTAGTATTTTCCAAGATATTTGTTCTGGATGTTTTACTTTGAACGCTTATTTCCATATTTGGTAAACAAAACTTGCCGAAGGGACCTGTAGCTATTAATCACATGGACGGGGTGGAGAAGGGCGTTCGAGTTGTTATTCACGGGCAATTATTAAGCGTGATCTCCCTAACCTTTAAAAATGTTTGCTACCGTATTTTTCCATCTTTTTTCACACCCCCTTCCACTATCCCCCTTTCTCACAGCCTATTTAGAACTTACCCTCGGTTTAGATTGAATGAGACTTCTGCTGATGCTGATGCTCTCGCAGACATAAAGATATTCATCCGTACTTTTGGCGGCTTTAGCTTGTTGATACTCGCGCTTGAGACTTCCAATTGCAGTATAAGCGAAAATCCAACTCCGTAACTTAAAAAAGAACTGAAGCCTTGTCCTCCTTGTTTCTAGCAAGAGAAGAAAGGTAAAAGTATTCATAATAATTAGGAAGCAGAAGGAGGAGGTGGGGAGGAGGAGGAGGAGGAGGAAGAGGAAAAGCAGAGAAGGTGGAGGAGAGGAAGAAAAGGAGAGGCAGCTGCAAAGAGTAGAAAGAGTAGAGGAGGAGAAGAGCGAAGTGGAGTAGAGAAAGATAATAAGGGAGCATAAGAGAGTGGGGAATCACAATGCTAAGAGAAAGAGGATAGGAGAAGAATAGAATAGGATGATTTATTTACCAAAGAAAATCCCCATCTTCCATTCGCTCCAAAGAATCTATGGTAGATAGCTCTTTTACGTCTGACATGACTAAGTGGTTCATCAATCCCTATTTCTGTGATTGCCTTTTCATTGACAATTGAAGTAACCGGAAGTACTTCCACGACCAAGTAACCTTTGCTGTAGTGGAAGGATTTCGCCTACGAAAAAGTGCAAAGCGGGCCATTACTTTTTTATTAGCTATCTGTTCAGGAAGTGGATCGAATGCAATATTGGATAAAGCTGAATGAAAGGTGAGTTCTGAACCCAAGTAATATTATCCATACTGAGTAATCTAATTTGTTTTTCAATCGTAGGCATTTTTCTAATTACGAAAGAAGTGGTGCATCGTCGTCAAGTTTCAGTAACTACCCCATATATTTTATGATGACCAAAAAAATGCTGTAACGAAGGTAGACCATGCACAATGACCCTAGTCTCTTGGATAAGGTCCATAGTCTAAAACATATGTATACTGAGGAACGTCATTAGGATTTTATCTTAGATTTAAAAATGATTAACGATAAAACAAATCCAGACTTGCCTTGGCAACAAATGGTTGGCTGGGTCTATCGACGATGACATCACTGACCGACATGTTCAATGTTTCATTGTTTGTCGCCTTTATCAGGAGATTTGGGTTGTTATCCCCTCCAGGGCAGCTCAAGTCCTCATTGCTTAGTTGTTTACTTGGGAATCTGGAGTAAAATTTTATGACGTTTAGCGTTCATCAGCTAAATAGGAACTGGAACAGACGCATGCATGTAGCTCTTTGAAAAAGGTTGGTAAAGGTTTTGTTCTTGTTGCTCATTAAGCTTGACTGAAATGTATTATACTTATATGTGAATGACGTCGACACAAGAGAAAATATTCCTGATAAATGTGCGGGAAAAAATTGGGACATTTTCATATTGTTATTGATCTTTCGCTGAATGTATTCACATCTTCACGTCGCCCATAGTGCAATTAAGAATTGGGCATACAACACGCAACAAAACATTTGCCATCCTTTC